TTTTTTTTTTTTTCCCCATAGTTTGTTTGCAAAATAGAATCTTGGTATATAAGAGCTTAATCATGAAAAGCTTCTGAGTATTTTCTTCCGAAATTTGAAGTTCCCCCGATGTTGAAGAAAATTTAAATAGCCGTAGGGAAATGTCGGTTATCATGTTTTCATGTTTTCGTTTTTTTTTTTTTATTTCTTTTTTGTTGCAGGCCAAATCGATAAATGAGAAGATTCTGACAAAGGATGAAGGGCACAAAATAAATGTGTTGAAGAGACTAAAGATGTGACTTGAAAGAGATCAGCTGATATTTAGTTAGAACTATCAATGTGGTCAAATAAGTATAATCATTAATAAACAAATTTGTAGTCGTCCGATTTTACGATGATTGAAGTTTTTAATTTTCCGGCTATTGCCATCGTTGTTTAATCATTCGTCGCAAGAAATTTAGCTCCCTTACGCAGTTAAACTTACTTGCTGCAGGTACATTTTGCAAGATACTCATAAGTTATAAGTATGCAAAAACTTTCAAGATCCCAAATCATCATTTGAATTATAGAGAACAAGCAGAAACATGAGATTATACATGATGCTAAATCATCAAATGTGTCTATGAATGTTGGTGTGAGATAAAAGGAAAAAATTCAACAAGTCATTTGATATAATAACTTAACCATTTTCTCGGCCAATGTAGTTTTCGCAAGAAAATTAAAGAAACTGAACCTGCATACAATCATGATTTTCATTATCCTAAGCAATCCTAGCACTAGGATAACATTAGTCCCCACGGACAACACAACCGTGCACACGCGTAAAACTTATTTTCTCCGCACATTTTTCATACAACATGCTCAGTATTTGTTAGAATATCACTTGTTAGTTGTCCCACATCGTTTATATAAGAAAAATGAGTTTAATTTATAAGTCTAATGGTCTACAGTTTGAGCTTCATCTGGATCTTCCCTGTTTATGGTGCGCTTAACGTGCGTGGGACAACACCCGTTTTCCTCCCTTTTTTACAGTATAAATAACATAACATTTTGGTTGCATGTTGATAGCTTAGGTCTTCCATCTTCTATCGTCTTTTTCAACTTTTTTTTTTTTTTTTTTTCAAAAATTATTTTACTTTGCAAGAAAACTTCAAACAACTTATGTTGTCATAAAACCTTACACTTGTCATTTTTGCCACAAATAAAGAACATGGTTGCTAGGGAAACCAAGATTGATCCATTATCTCTACTTCGTAATCGTGACTGAGCTTTTCTTTGCCGAGATTTGTTTGAACATATACAGATTAAAATAGTGTGAACTGCCCACCACTTTAGCTTCACTTGATAAATTATGGGATACAAATGTATATGGTCTATTTTGACATCATCTCAATATAATCAAATAAAGTGTCCCAAGGTGGTTTGGGCCGTCGGATTGCATACAGTGTGTGTCGATCCGGCGGCTAAACCCCAAATCATCCACAAAAAGCTCAATAAGAAAAGTACAACGACCATTTCACACCAGTACTTATTTCATTGTGAAGAGAGAAAAAAGAGTGAGAAGAACTTAAAAATAACAAATACCAATTATATAATAGTACTGAGAACTGAATTGAGTTGAAGAACTTCACATTACATCCAAACAGCTTTTTCAACTACATATCTTCACGGAGTCTCCGGTTGGGGAGAAAGAAGCCTTTCTCACTAGTCAGTAATAAGATTTTCGCGGATTGTTCTGCCAAATAAACAAATATTTATATATAAATAAGATAGCAACCTTTCGATTAGTTCTTGAGGATACTACACTTCATTCAGCTTCTTGTGAAATGCAATCTGGGAAGAAAACCTCATTTAGAAACAAGTGCAGAAAGTAAGAGTGCATATACATACCAAAGGATTCGGCCGGTGACGATAACCGAGCATCATTCGTTTTTTGTACTGCTCGTAAATGTCATCATCGGGAGTAACCTCGCCTGGTGCATGCGCACCCACCCCCAAGTGATCCTTTTTCACGTCGCCTGCCATAATGGGAGCCGAAATCCCACTTCCCGAGCTCCCCAGGCCCTCCCCTGCAATTTTTCTTTTAACTCTCAAGTCTATTCCAACGGTATATATACATATTTTTTTTTTCTTTTTTTTTTTCCATGTTTGTTCAATTTCTGAAATGAAAGCAACACTCTCATAAATATTGTTGGAAATGGCTCTGTCAATAACCAGTTCGGGTATTTATCATGCGAAAAAAAGGAAACACTACAACTAAAAGGAAGACTTCATATTATAACCAGCTCTCTATTTTACCTTCTTTCCAACCCATTTTAGATAGAAGTTTGTGGCCAACATTATCAGCCTGGATTTTTGTTTTCTCGGCAGCTTCCTTTGCAAACTTATGTGCAGATACATCGTTACAGGTGGCCAAAAACTTTTCTAGTTCTTCGGGAGGAATATAATCGCCCATGTGGTGCCCTTTCTTCGAATGAGCTGTTCAAAGCATTAAAAAATAACATACTTATTATTAATCAGGGAGACCAGTAAGTAATTTTCTGGTCGATGTTGGATACATTTCCAGAAAAAGAATAGGCGCAAACAGAAATTAAATACTAAAGAAAATAAAAAAAAAATAATTGTTAACCATGAAGTGAAGCAGGTGGGGGCATCTCATCCTTTGAGTGTTTTGGAGGCCTCCGTTTCTCTTCCTGTGCGGCCTTCTTCATATAGTATTCCATCATGGCTATAGGGTCTGAACCGGGAGGACCACTTTGCTCACCTATCAGAATTTGACATATAAGTACAAACAAAATTTATAAGAAAGGGAAACAGTAATTAGGGACCAACACTTGTCCTGTAGACAGTGATGTACGGCAATAATGGTACATAAAAACAAGCTACAGCAAAACAAAATGGATAAAACATACAAATTAAGTATTTCGGATCATAAAATGAAAGAATAATCCCCATTATAAGGCAGACCAGCCAAACTTTTTATATTAACATTTCGATTTATGAAATGATAGCCCAGCCAGGTTTTGGTTTCTCAGGGCACCTGGGGGTCTCCCTAGGCCGATTTTCACCACACTGTTTATGATTGTATTTTCAGTTCAAGAATAAAAAAGGTGGATTGTACCATATTTTCCAGTTGCTGTTTGTGATGATGCCTCTGAAGATGATAAGTTCTCTGTGGTGTCATATAAAGCGGAGGCAGGAGTTTGATACTTCAAGTGTTGATGTTGTGACCTCTGAGAGTCAGCCACAGTCTTAGTGGATGTAGCGCCTAAAAACACCCAGATGACCCACATTACAAAACCAACGAGAAATTCATGGTCACAAATCAAAAGTATTTTTTTTATTTTTTTTTCAATTCATACGTAGTGATGTAATATGTACAACATGGTGCAAGTCCTCCCAACCAAATAAATTACAAGGTGCAATTTGGGCAGAATATCTTAGATCAATAAATTACTAACCACTTCGTGACGTCTGGGAATCCGTAGTATGGGCCAAAGCCTTCTGCTCTTCACCAAGTCGATATTCATAATACTTGTAATCCGAGCAACTTTCATCAAATAAAAACCTACAAAATTATACATCATTTCATCACATATAAAACTGGCAGTTACATACAAAAGGATACTCAGAGTCCCATTTAAGTTACTGCATCATCTAAAAGTGGTACTAACTACTAACTACACAAAGAACTCCTATTGCAGCACCTGAGATAAAGCTTTGAATCTTCAATGAGCCCAAAAGTAGCATTTGAATAACGAATATAACGATGTTAACAACAATAAATTCCCATGTTGTCAGAAATATAAAAAAGAAACTAGATGGTGACCTCATATGAAATAGTAGTGATCCCTACATGTGCACAGTACAGGAAGTTTGAGGGAAAAAAATCGAAGGGAGTTCACCAGAGTACATATATTTCTTTTTTATATTTGAATACCTATGCTTGGATCCTTTAATTTTAGTAACTGTAATTTAAGAATAATGTTAGTTTACGGTAAGTTGTAAGTTCGAAAATCATCGTTATGTCACCATGACCGGAGTATCAACTCGCATTAGACTTTAGGGGAAGAGCTGATATGAATGTGTTTTCTGTTGATTAAAATTCATTTACTTGAAATGGAGTCTTATAGCAATCCATTTTAGGCATACTTATAAAGATGAAGAAGATGCATCTCTCAAGAAACAGCACATATTAATAGAAAACATTTACATGTTAAATATGTTGAAATTCAAAAACCACGAACAACTCAGCAAAATGATACTGTCAACTGATTCCTAGTACAGTAACACGAAAACTAACGAATGGGGGACAAATAAAAAATTTCAGAAAGAAATCAAATCTCTACCTAAATGAAAATTGTTTTGGACAAATCACATATGCCAGGATAATGTAAGAAAGAGTATGACAGATATATAATAGGCTAACAAAAATGAAGTCTACATACTTGAAGGGTGTATCTCCAGGGTTTTTCTGCCGTGTTACATGCTCAAACTGCCTCCCATTCTTGGCAACAAAGCTTGCTAATTTGTCTGCGACATTCTTCACAGTAGGATCACTTGGGGAAGGTGGTGCTGCACGCCACTTAAAGAACTGATTAATACCAACCAGAATGCAAATAACTCTTGCAGAAGGTTATTGCACATCTTTCAGTGGACATCTATCTCCATCAATGTTGCTATTAAGTATAAGCTTCATTGATCGATAAAAGTAATTCAAGAATGTTTTGTCCTTTTATCTGACACTAAGGCAAAAAACTCAAAGTCAGTACCTAAACTAGGATGACCAACATATAAGTCATACAGAATTTAGTAAACAGATTGCTACAGCACAAGAAGAATGTACCATGCTCCCTAACTGGCAGACTAGCATAACTATAATAGGAATTGAAATTTGTAGCTACAGAAACAACTGCTCGATAGGTTTAAATGGTCTGCCAATTAGTGGATAGTTAGAACATCACCACAGAACATATTTTAACAAAAGCGAAACAGAGAAATAACCCTCTTTTCTAACAAACCAAAGCAAGCTGTGCTCATTATCAATGCATAAAGCTAACATTACGGGCATTATAATTAAGGCAGTCGATTATATGTCCAGACTACAACTTCCGGACATGCGATAAGCACAATCCAGGTAACTCCTCCAGCAGACAAATAAACAACATATTTATGTGATCCTGCTTAACTTCACCTGCCATTGACACACAAGAAATGGGTTACAAAGTAATTACCAACATCAACGGGTCTGGATGATTGATCGGATTCATTATTGAACTGTGCCAATTTTGGCCGCTTTGTCGGCCCATCATCTGCTACTTTTCGAGCATCCCCTTCATCTTCATCCTCATCTTCACCAAACTTGACAGTGGGAGCAGCAAGTTTTGACTTTTGCTTCAAGCTGAATGCAAGCTTTCCACTTGTTATCTTAGAGCCACTAGCCTTATTATCTACAGTTGGTTTACTAGTGACAGTCTTTCGATCGGGAGTAATAAACACCGAGCTTGACCTAGATTTCCCAGACAGTTCACCCTTCTCCTCCTCTTGAAGGTTTTTGAACCTTCCCATAGAAGATCCATCATTACGAAATAACCCACGATCTATTCCTCTATCCATTGTGCAAGGCCAGGTACGTCCACTTCCTACAATAGCTGAATGCTTGACATTACAAGCTCAAGAGATATTCAGTCACAGAACAGATTCCAAATAAGCAGCATTTTCAGTAAGTGAAGACAACTATATAATATTATCCATACTAAAACAAAAATCTACGTTTACAATAAATATAAATAAAAACTAATAATGAGGAATCCAAACAACTTCTTCATGCCTAAGTGAGATAACCACAAATTACAAACGCATGCAGGAAAGGAAAAATCCTCAAATAATCCAACTAATAAAACCGGTATAACAAACCACCCATCAGTACCAATTCTTGCTCCACGCGTACGTCTAATGATTCCTCTTAACCTTCAGAAGCAAAATACAACCATCGAAGGCAAGTGTGCCTCAAGATGTACTTGAAACCTTTCTGCTTTTTATACCGCAAATCGCTAAACCACCAAAGAGTCTTATCTCAATTTGATAAAGATTAAATCTTTTTGCCACAAAAAATATTATAGTTCACCTAAAAAGTGAACTTTTCGACTACACCAAGAGCAATTCATGAGATCAAATTCCATAAGATGTCAATCAAATATAACAGCCCGATTCCATCAGAATCAGCCAAAGCCCACATAGAATAAACCACACAACATCAGAACAATTAATCTCACAATGAAAATAATCTTGGATATTGAAAAGTACAAGCAAGGAAACAACATCTACAAAGACGACTCTGTCCAGTGAATCACAGCACCCGCTTTTCGCATAGTTCCTTATAAACCTCTTATTCAACCTCAACAGAGGCCCTCGTACAATTAACCAAAAAACATAAAGCAGCATACGAAATAGAAGCCTTAAACCCTTGAAGAATAACAAGAGGATCAAAATACAAACCCGGTGAGTACACACGCTTAATCAAACCCCCTGAGCTAATCGATCTTCCAATTAAACGCAAACACAAATGCCCATATCAAGTGGATCTACATTGAATTCAACCTCAATACCACACGCACGTACACACACAAACGCAGAGGCAAAAAGAATACATATTGCCCTGAAAAATTCGATTCAAACCCCTAATCGAAAAAAAAAAACAAGAAAAAGAAAATTGAATAGAACAGATCAATTATCACTTAGGTGCATCTGATTACCTGACTAACAGCGAGCTAAATCAATAGAATCAGAGCGATTAATCGGATGCCCCAGCTGAGTAACAGAGAGGATTTTCCCGTTCGTTGGCCGCGATGAAGAGTATTGCTTGGTGGCTCTTGTTTATTTGTTTGTTCGTTTTAGGTCCTCATACTATTCCCAAATGCCTAAAGGCTTGATTATGAAATAATTTGTTTAAGATGAGTTAGTTTAGTTAATCATAATTAATTAGAAAAAAAATAATAATATAGTTAGTTGTTAGTGAAATTTTTTAAAAAAAAATTAAAATAATATTTAAAATAAAATAAGTAAAATTGATTTCACGTAAAAGTATGAGAGATGATGTGAAGTGATGATTAGTTAAAATTATGTGAGTGAATAAATAGTGAATTAAAGTTGATGTGACGTGTAAGAATAATTGACTTGTATTATTTAATTATAAAAATGATATTAAAGATAATAGAGTTGAGTTAAAACTGAGTTATATTTTGAGTATGAAATAAAGTTGAATAAATTATTTTATAAACAATCAAGCCCTAACTCCAACCCCTTTTTCTTCCAATGTTATACATTTGTCATTTTAGATCCTCATACAATTCCCAAATATCTAGCTCTACCCCCATTTATTCACATTTTATACATTTTCCCCTCTAAATCTCTCAAACTTATTGCATAATTTAAAAGTTAAATGCAAATTCGTGTGTGAAATGACCTATCAGTTAGATGAGTTGATTTATCGTACTTTGATTTTGAATATATGTATATATGTTGAAAAAATATACTACCTCCTGTTCATTATAAATGTCGTTTTGACTTTTTTGATTCATCCATTTTGTCATGTATCTAGACATAAAATATGTCTAGATACATAACAAAATGGATGAATCAAAAAAGTCAAAACGACATTTATAATGAATAGGAGGGAGTATTTGTCTAACCATTAGGTTTGCCTAACAACAATCTTACTAAAAATTTAAACAGTATGTCTTATCCATATTTAAGTGAATGAATAATAATTATAGATTAATGTGTGATTGATTTTAATTTGGATCTGTGTTGCAATATGTGCGAGTTGTAAATAAAGAAGAAAGACAAATAAACAATATTTTTCTTTCATTGTGAACGAGAAAATGAGTTTGAGAATATATCCAATCCTGCAAAACCATTTATCTAACCATTTTGTAGAATCAAGATCTGTTATTTACAAGTCAGGTGTGTCACATTCATATATCATTTATATTACCATTTTGTAGAATCAAGATTTGTTATTTACAAGTCAGGTGTGTCACATTCATATGTTCGAAACCTCTGTAAGATACCTAAATTAGACCATTAACCTAATCATTTTGAATAATAAGGATTTGTTGTTTATAAGTAAAGTTCATATTCCAGTGCTCGAAAAACCATTAACTCATCAATCCTAATCATTTTGAAGAACAAGGATTTTTCGGAACACACGGACGATGATGTAGTTTTGCTTTTGCCCAATGTGTCTAGAGAGCTCGACTATGATAACCTCGACTGGCTATCATTGTTATGCTTTATCAGAGCTTGAAGGGAACTACAAAACGATCAAATCATGCAAAAAAGTTGAAACTAGAGGTTTCACAAATCATGATAGTAAGTACTCTTTCAGGCTTCCCTAGTCTTTACTACTCCAAAATATGTAAAGCAATATACACAGTTCACCATATTCAAAACCATCAATATAATATATCCATGTCGAAAAAAGTGATGCTTCAAGCTTTAAGGTAATAAAACGCATATCCCAAAACACAACTTACGAAATGAAAGTGCGCATTCGAATGCGAATAAAACTCCATCTCAAAACAAATTTCAAATTCCATCAAGTTAGGCATTACACATCCTAACACCAACGAAAAAAAAAGGGAGGAAAAACACTTATTCATCATCCTCAATGATTTGGGTGCCCAATCCCTTCAACCCTGCTTCTGGAATCTCTGCAACAGTCACAAGAGAGTAAAGCTCCTCCTTGGCATCCTCATCATCGTTCCTCTTTCTCGCAATACGAACACGGATTCTCCTGGGCACGCTCCGAATCCCACGGCTCCAAATGTGCTTGTTCAGCTTCACATCAACTCGGACATCCTTAGTGCCCATGGCCTTCTGGGCAAATTTCCTTATCTCCTTTATGGCCTTCGGAGCCTTCTTCTTGAAGGTACTGCAGGTAAAATTTCGTATATGAAGTAGAATTAGACCACCAGGTATCACAATAGTATGAAGTACGTAGTTAGTTATAGTCCAACTGGGTTTTTCAGCAACACAAAACTAGAAATCAATTTCTAAAAAACACCCATTAAAAAATAAATAAATAACTCTGGCTTGAATAGGAAGGGCTGTAGAATAGTACACAAAACACCTAACCCCAGCAAGTTATGATTTTTATTTACAACAGTTATAACAAGAGTAATAAACTAAGAATCTCTGAATTAATACTAGAAACCACCAACGATCTAAGTTCTAGGAACAGAACAGTGGATACCAACTATCCAAGGATTGAAACCATGCATTTTGCAGCCATGGTAAAAAATACAGCACAACTTATAGCTTTGTTAATTCACAAGAACTCGTTTGTTGATCCAAAGGACATAACGACACATAAAAATTTTTGTGGTGCCATTCGGCGAATTAGGACCTCTATCGATATCAATAAGACAGGACAACATGACAGGACAACATGACACAAGATACTAACACACAGTTCGAGAAAAAGACTTCCATCAACATCAACGAGACAAAATGTGTAGACATAACAAAATGACACAAGATTCTAACGTGACATTCGGGTAAACAATAGGACCTCCATCAACATCAACAAGACAAATGTGTAGACAACACAAACTACAAAATGACACAAGATAGTAGATACTACAGAGCTGTTCGGGAAAAATTAGGATCTCCATCAACACCAACAAGACAAAATACTCAGAATAACATCAAAAATAAAAATGTGTGTGAAAGCTTAATCCACATTGTGTGTATGGAAGCTTAGTCCATATTTCTCAAACACGCATATGGACATCACAACATATGGGGTCAATTTACTACACAGGTAGAACAGGCAAAATTTCAAGCTGATCATGTCTGCTTACAAATGAGCTTCACATAATCATGTGTCAATGGCGACAAAAACCGAGAAATGTACGCACTCATCATTGATAATTTAATCTTCAAACTCATAACCCCTAAATACCGGACAAATAAAAATGCTTAAACAAATAAAAATGCTCAATGAAACACCAGCTAACAAGATCTGAAAATCCAAATGACCCAAAACATACACAGCTGAGAGAGAGAGAGAGAGAGAGAGAGAGAGAGAGAGAGAGAGAAAGAGATTACCATCCATGCAGACGTTTATGAAGATTGACGGTGTACTCCCTGGTGACGACCTCCGCCGCCCTCGGTTTGCTTCCCTTCTCCACCATTGCCGTCGGTGGTGCCCAAATGCTCGGCGGCCTCTTTAAAATCGCTGGATTTTGGGTATGAACTAGAAACCCTAGATGTGAACCCCAGAGGTTTATATACACGTGCATATATGCATATGTGTGATTTAGTTTACCTGAAATGTCCTCAACTCTTACTTAAACCACAAAGTTGCCCCTGATAATTGTAAGGGGCCATCAGGTATTGGTAGGGTATAAACAAGCTGAGCCGAGGCCGAGCCAAGCTTGAGCCTTAATGGGCCGATCTCAGCTCGGCTCTTTAACTGAACGAGCTTATGATTGAGCTTTGGCCCACTATCAATATTAACGAGTTGACCTCGAGCCTAAACGAGCCAAAATCGGGACGAACTACAGAAAAATACATAAATTTTATTTTTCGAGCCTAAAGAGTCGAGATAAACTCGTCTCGTTAACAAAACGAGTATTAAATGAGCTCGATTTTGGCTTGTTTGATAAGTTGAGCCGATCCAAGCTCACGAACGACTCGTTTTATTTAACAGCTCTATTATTGGGCTTTAGGTTGTTTGATATTCATAGTAGTTACAACGTGAGTAAATATGAGCTCATTTCACTTTTACTCTGATTTGGAGATGTTCAACAATGTACTAATGATTTCAGGTTAAACTCAACGTGTTTCGGACTTAAGCGTGATTAAATATAAAAATTAATATCAATATAATTAAATAATATCAATCAATTATCTTCATACATCATATCAACTTTAGTTTATTATTTATTCACTCATATATTTTTAACTACTTATCACTTTCAATAATATATCTTATATTTTTGCATCACATCATTTTTTATCATTTTATATTAAAATTTATCTAAATATAAATTCAAAATATCTCTCAATTATCCACTCAATCAGCTTTATTTTAAAAAAAAAAAATCACTTTAACTAATAAATTCAATTAATATATATTATTTACATCAAATTACCCCTTAAGGATTTGAATCAAAATGTTCCATTTTAATGACTTAGCAATAATCCGATTTAACCTTAAGAGTGTATATTCAATTGTAACAACGTAGGCCTCACCATGAAGGTGGTGGTGTTGAAAAAGATGTAAGACTTTTAAAACTTTGGTGTGTTCAGTTAATTTTTTTGAGAATTTTAAAAAATATATTATTATTCAATTGAGACTTTTAAATATTATTATTCAATTGAGACTTTTAAAGACTTATTCATAAATCTTTAAAAGTCCAAAAGTGTTCAATTAAACCTTCTGAAAGTCTCTATAAATCCACTTTAAATCTACCAAACAATTTTAAATTCAAAATTTTGATTCAAAATATTACTCAATTTAATACTCTTCAATATTATCAATATAATTAAATAATATGCGGTGACGGTGGACCGCCAACGATTACAAAATGCATGCTTAAAAAGGTATAAACAAGGGTTATGGAATATTTATAGTAGATTATAATTGTGAATAATATAGACATGTCAAAATAAAATAAATAAACGTAAAAACAACGCGACGTCGATATTGTAGATGGCGATCGACTAGGAAATTGTTTATCTGGAAGTTTTATTGAGTAATTATTTTGTGGGAATACAACTGAATATGGTGATTCTATAATCTTTGAGAGATCAAGTTATATAAAAGAAAACAACGTATTGTGTGAGGGAGATAAGATTATATATAACGATGTTGATCAACGGTAGGTGATTGTTGACCTGGGGTTGATATTTACACACGAAAAAAGTGATGGTGCTTAAATGCTAGGTGTCAGCTAGGGTCGTATGGTGGTATTGCGTATATATGTGCAGATTTTGATGGGAAATGTGGGCGGTGCCTTCAACTTTATCAGTTCATAATTCAAGCTTGTGATGATTGACATACTTACTCGAGAAGATTTTGAGGGCGATAGGGGGATCAACAACCCTAGCTTTGTGATCTTGGGCCGTTCGCGAGAGGGTTGGTGGGATATTTGGGCTTTGTTTAGCATGTTGAACATTCGTCTTTCAGGAGCTTTTATGATCGGGTATTTTTAGGTACAACAATATGAATTAATTATGTCACACATCACATCAATAAAATTCGCTATTTAACACTCGTATATTTTACATAACAATCAAATTCAATCACATCATTTATACTACATTAACTTTAATCATTACATGTTAACTCGTCTTCAAACACAAATTCAAAATCCAATAAAAAAACTTTTCATATTTTATCATCTTTAATTTACTTTATTTAATAGATTAAAATCAAACCCAACAAATTTATGTCCAATAGCAACCTAACAAAATGAGGCTCCATGCGAGACTATCGCACCTTAACAAATCAACAACATTGGATGAAAGCTTAACAAGTTGAGTACAACTCAAGTTGTTAACTGAACAAACTTTAAAAGCTAATCAACTTTTTAACTTAATTATTAAATTCAAGTGATATTTAAAATAGAAAATAAATATAGAGGAAATAAGGTTGGTATGATCTTAAAATTAGAAACAAATTTGATAAAGAAAGAGAGAATGATGGGAGGCAATGATGTATGGTGTAACAATTAATTAAGGCACTTCATACCAATTTTGGTTCCAAATCTTTTAGAACCAAAATACAAAGCATGATATTGTAACATGTAGGACTCCAAAACGTGTGAGTCTGCCACTTAGGTTCAACTTTTGAATTAGTATATAGAGGGGCCAAGTTTAATTTGATAGGATGTACTTTAAAAAAAAAAGATGAGCTTATACCAAAAACTTCATTAAATATCTTTTCAAACAACTCCATTGAAAATTTTATTTCAGCTGACTTATCGGTATTTTTATCAAACACTTTTGTCAAAACAATTAATTTTTAAAAGTGAAATATAAGCTTTAAATTCATTTATAAACTAGCAGGTTATCACTTATTTGCTAGTTTTACCAAACATAGTCAATCGTTTTTATTAAGTCGCTTATAAGAGAATTTACAAAAATCAAAACCCAATTTCGCCAAAAAGAAAAATCCAAAAAGCTTGAATTTGCGCCTTACCCTGCTGATCTTGTCGGGCTGCTTCGGCGGTGGCCGTCACCGAGCCGCATGGCTCGAATCCCAGAGAAGTGCCGCAAGGAGCGGCAAGGAGCCGCAGATCTTCGTTGGCGGAGGAGGCGGGTCACCCCCGAGTGGGTTTCGCTGTCCTAGTTGCCATGTAGGGAGGAGGTTTGCTGATTTCCCAGCGGCTTCACGGTGGTGGGCGGGTGATTTTTTGGGAAAGGGTTGCAGACTCGATCTATCTCTTTGTGGTGGTCAGTGTAAAGGTTTGTGACCCCTTTCTCCACGTGTTTCTCTTTTTCTAGTGCCGGATGGATGAGATGACCGGCGAGCCTAGATTGTGGTTCGTGTTGGTTTCGAGCCTGGGTGGCCAGTGGTGTTGGGATGGATTGGGAAGTGTACCTTCAGTTGTGGGTTTAGTGTCTTCCGTCTTGGCGTGGGGTTGGGTTGCTAGTTGCAGATCTGGATAGACGTGTGACATTTTTTTGACTTGCTTCTTGCAGCGTGACTCAGTGCTTGTGGGTCGTCGGCCGCGGGTGGTGCTGTCTTGGTTAGCTCGATGGAAATTGTCGGCAATGAGAAGAGCTTTATTCTATTTCTAGTAGTATTTTCATATTTTGTTTTGGGTGTTGGTGTTGTTTAAGTGCTGTTTTTTTTTTTTTTTTTGTT